CCTAAATAGAGGGTGAAAATGAGAATTTTTTTTATTAAAATATAATAATGAAAATCAGTTTTCTTTCTATCAACCCTTTCTTTCCCACTTTTAACTCATTCCTAACTAACCACCAGCCAGCCAACCAATCTCTTCCCCATCCTCTTTCCTCTCCCTTTCCGTGTTATACATCTATAGCTCTATATATAAGAATTATCTTCGTTTTTTTTTTTCGATTTTATCTATCCATTTTAAGTAATTTATTAATGATGACCTATATATTGAGTGAAAGTTTTTCCATAATTATGTAAACATTCTTAGTCAATTATATAATAGGATTTTTCGTAATTACGCAAATATTTTTGGTCATCATAAAACATGTTTTTTTTTTTTATAATTTCTAATATTATAAGACCGATTCATATTTTAAACATACCTTATAGGTGTATTTATAATTTGTTAAAAAATAAAAGATTTATGTTTCATAATTGACCAAAAATGTTTGCCTAATTACGAAAAAACTTGTTTCGTGATTGACTAAGAATGTTCGCGTAATTACGAAAAAACCTGTTGCATAATTGATCAAGAATGTTTGCGTAATTACAGAAAAATCTTCACTCGACATATAGGCTACTATTAGTAAATTATTCACAATGAAAGGACAAAATTGAAAAGAAATGATGAACTTCAAGTAGTTAAGCGGTTCTTATATATATAGGCTAGTTTGAAAAGGCCAATGCAATGCATGAGCTATAATTACAGTATATTTAAATTTTATATTTTGATAATTTTTTTAAAATTGAAACATTGTTCTATGAAATTAAATAGAATAAATCATTAGTTATATGATAGAATTATGTGATATGATATTTTTTGTTTGATTTGTTATACACTTAATGATTTATTCCTTTCAAATTTATAAAAAAAAAAATTACGGTGTGTAACTTTTCTTAACAAATGAATATAAAATAAATATTAAGATAATTATCTCATCTAAAAAAAATTACTAAGATAATTCACTAAACTAATAAAGAAGCAAAAAAAAAATACATATATATACAAATGATTAATTTTATTAATACATTAATCGTACTCGCATAATAATTTACCAATTTTATTAATATGTAAATTAACAATTTTTAATGATATGAAAAATATTTTTCGGTCAACTATTTTGTTAATAAGGGGTTATTTGGGGTGTCCTAAATAAGTGTACTTTTTGTCTTTTTGGACTACAAAGTTGAGGGAAAAAATATGAATGTTTGGGTTAACTTTTTGACTTTTTATGAAAAAATGTGTATTAAAAAATTGTATAAATTAGTTTATACGGGAAAATTAGGATTGGGAGTTGTGCAGCCGTCCTTTTTGACTTTTGTGAATAGTGATAACTTTTTAATTTTTTGAGTAACTTTTTAACTTTTTGACAACTTGCCAAACTTGACCTAAATAAGTTATTAAGTCAATTAACGATTTTTATTAACATGAGAAATATTTTTTAATAAATAATTTTGATAATTTATTATTACGTAGGGGAGTGATTTTTTTTTCTCATGAGTATTGTGTTAAATTAAAATTTATAACAAATGATAATTATAATTTCTAATATTATACGACTAATTCATATTTTAAAGGGTAAATTAAAAATACACCCCCTGAGATTTGATTAAAATATGAATCACCCCTGTGGTTTTGGAAATTACATTCCACCCCTTGAAATTTCTAATTTCATAACAACTTGCTCTTTTTATTAATAAATTATAAAGTCAATTAACAGTTTTTAATGATATTAGAAATATGTTTCAATTAATAATTTAGGTAATTTTATTATTGTATTAGAGCGCAATTATAAATTTCATTTTTTTAATTAATTATGTTAAATAAAAAATTCTGATAAGGGAGTATTTATAATTTTCGAAACCACAAGGAATAATCTGTACTTTAAACAAATATCATGGGGTGTATTTGTAATTTATCCTATTTTAAACGAATCTTCTGGGTGCATTTGTAATTTGTTAAAAAATAAAATATTTATATTTTATAATTGACCAAAAATATTTACGTAATTACAAAAAAATTTGTTTTATAATTGATCAAGAATGTTTGCGTAATTACGAAAAAACCTGCTGCATAATTAACGAAGAATGTTTAATTATGAAAAAACCTTTACTCAATATATAGAGCACCATTAATAAATTATTCAAAATAAAAAAATAAAATTAAAAAGAAAAAAGGAACCTTAAGTAACTAAGTGGTTGTTATATATATAGATATATATATATATATATATATTTTTGATGAAATCACGGGAAGAGAAGATGATGAGTTAACTCGTTGAGAGGATAGACAAACAGAGAGTTGGAGAGGGTTTAACAGAGTTAAAAGTTACGGTAATTAATGGACACGTGTTTGCAAATGAATAATGGTACAGAGAAGTGGGACACTCATCTGGGACAAATGTAGATTGTCAATTTTACCCTCATCAATTGTGTAATGTGTTGTTCTCACCCTTGAGAAATTACACGTGTAAGGACCACACGTAATAAAATATATTATTTATATATATATATTATATGTTTTTTTTTTTTTGGTATAAATAATTTTCACTGTGCTGATCATTATTGTTCGGTTTTAATTCAATAATGTTGTGATTAATATATTTGTTGATCATATATTTTAATTATCATTACAATTGTATGGGTTTAATGAATTTTATTATTTAGAAAATGATTTATCCATATAATTTCTTCACTCAAATTCTCCTAAATGACATGACAAATAAAATTTAAAAAATTGACCCACACTCGAATATTTTTTCAAAAGTCTCCTTACATGCATTACGTCTTGCTGCCTCATTTGGTAGATTGTGGAGGAAAAAATTTATATGAATGTAGCATTGTTACCTAGAGTAAAGATTGTGAATTTAAACCTCATGTGAGAGCTTTGTGGGTGATCCCTTTTCCCTTTTTCCTTAGATTAGAGAATAAGCTAATGTAAGTTCTAACCAGTGATAATAAATAAATAAATAATTTTATTTCAAATGTCACAATTATATTGGTTTAAAAGATTTACTACTTATATGTATTATTAAATACTAATATAGTAATGACATATGAGACAATAAATAAATGTTGTTATCGTAATATTATTAGAATTCAACCATTAATCAGCTAATTTGTCATTGTTTCTATTTCATATATTTTTTTAATCAAATTATATACAAAAAATATATAAAGTGATCATGATTGTAGTTCATTTCTATATAATGTTTTAAAAATTATTCTTTTTTCAACGAATAGGTAGGCCAAATTAATAATATCATATTTAAATAAACATTTTTATATGGTTACAAAAAAAATATATATATTTATATATATTTTCCAATAATCATATATTAAATAACATTTCAATATGGTTACAAAAATCTTACAAAATCATATAACATTATTTTCTAGGATGGTTTCTTTTGCAAAGTTTATTTTTAACCTCTTTTTTTGGCTTAACTTAAAAGAGAATAAAAATTAACTTTAAAAAAAAAACATTTGTCATGCCTATAATTTTGAAGCCACGTAATTTATTGTATATGAAAAAAGGAAAATTTTATTGTAATATCTAAATTTTATTTTAAAGAAAAATACAAACTTTCCTTTTTTTTGCCAATTGTTATGGTTAACATAATTTTTTGGAAATATTCATAATTAAAAAAAAACCAAGATTTGACCTCACTTATAATTAAATCCTATCTTTTTAATTATTTTAATTTAAACCCTTAACTTTTAAAATTATATCAATTCTAAACATCCATTTGTGTTTATTAGTTATAACTAAGGGAGAAGGACAATTTAGACAATTTATCTATTTGTCTTTCTCTTTATTTTTGTTGACACATTCGAAGCGTTGATTTGTTTATAATGACCTGTCAACTCCATATAATCATAACTGATAGTTTCATTAGCAGTTGATTTGGGAATAGATTATTTTTGTAATTTTTTTGATTAAAATATAAGGTTAAAAAATTAATATGTTTGAGATATTTTTTTTTATTTTTTATAAAAAAAAATACAAGAATTAAAGAGAAATTTTCTTTTAATTTTTTATATAATTTTTTAATTATTTATTTTTTTAACTTTGGAAAATTTACCCATAAGTTCTAGTTTTTAAAAAGTTGAACCATTTAGTCCTAAAAGTTTTCTTATGCTCTATTTAGTCCCATTTGCACATCAATCTAATGTTTGAAACATTAATTTGATGTTCGGAATCTAATGTTCGAAACATTAATCTGATGTTCGAAATCTAATGTTCGAAACATTAATCTGATGTTTGAAACATTATAATGGGACCTTTCAGTCTATAAAAAAAACTTTTAGGACTAAACAGTGTATAAGTTATTAATTTGGGATTTATTGGTGCATCCCTTTTAACTTTTTGACTATTATTATAATTTCTCAAATATACCCGAAATTTGTGTAATAGATGGATCAACTACTCCCGTCATGGTCTAAATTTGATGGGAAACCATGATCTATCAACACCACTATGTTTTTTAGATACGATTTAACGATTGGGAAAATCTTTAATGATTTTTTTAAACGTCTTGAATTTTCAAAGTTAAATTTTAGGGGAAAACACCATATTAAATTCTTAATTTGAGAATGTTAACTCATTTAGTCCCGACATTTTTTTGTTGAATTAATAGGTCCTATTTTATGTGTAAAGACATTAGTACCCATTTTTTTACGCATCTGGGTCAGTAATTGAGGGGTAATTTTGGGTTGGTGTTTATGTATAATTTACCAAATTGTCCAAAAAGCTTACTATAGACTTTTTTTAGATTTTCCTCATTTTCCAAACATCCGATGTTTTTGATGTTTGTGGGTGTTTCAAACATCAGATTCATTTAAAAAAAATTTACCATCATCAAAACATCAATAAAAATCGACAACATTATCAAATCATCATCAAACATCATCATGAACAATAGCAACATCAGAACATCATGAACATCATCGTGAACAATAACAACATCAGAACATCAGATTCATTTTAAAAAAATTTACCATCATCATAACATCGTCAAAAATCAGCATCATCATCAAATCATCATCAAACATCATCTTCTTGTAAGCCAACAAGACATCACCGACGTGGACCGGGCTGAGATCGGACAAGTGAAGAGAGTGAAGTGGGGATTCAATGACCACGTCGTGAAAACCAAACCCATTGAGAGTAGGAGTAGGAGTTGGGTTTTGGGGAAGAGAGGAGAGTTGGATGTCTTTGGAGAGAGCTGGGTAGAGGTTTTGGATTACTTTGAGTTTCCAATTGGAGGTGGAATCGGAAGGGAAGCGGAAGATCTCGGGGGCGCATTCGTGCTCGTGGCCGATGCAAAATGGGCATTCAGATTGGTTAGGTTTAGGGTTAGGGTTAGGGTTAGGGTTAGATTTGGATTTGAAATCGGAAGGACGACGAGCTCTGGCGGGAGAGAAGATGACCCATCGGTTATTGACAGTGTCTTTCCTGATATCTGAGCTCCGATTTTCTGATGATGCCATCGTTGTACTGATTCCTGCTCCGTCCTGTTGAGATAGATAGGTACTGCATATCTTATACACCATACAATACAAACAAAAATACAAATACAAATGCAAATTAAGAGAAATGAATGAGAATGGATTCTCTCTCTCTCTCTACCGGAGGGGATATCATTGTTGGAGAGATTGGGAGACCTGCAAAATGAAATCAATATGGGTAAAAATATAAACTCCATATACAATATATCAAAAACATATATTATACCAAAAATAAAAAGGACTAAATGATTTAAGAAAAAACACTCAGGACTAACTAGAGCAACATTTATCAAAATGGGATTTATGAGTAATTTTTTCTAAATTTTATTATCATTTTTTTATTGCTCAATTAACTTTTGAGCAAATTATTCACATATCCTCTTCAGTATAAGCGCGGTCTCCCGGTCGGACATAGACTGCGGGACTCGCTTACCATGCACCAGCCGACCTCCATGGGCCAGCTCATGCAGCGCATCAATGAGCACATCCGTGTAGAAGATGACGCGTCAGCTTCTACCGTGAAGGTCAGTCCGGTAGCAACAGACAAGAAGACAGCAGGCAAAGTGCATGCAGTTGGGCAAGAGCCCAGCCGCTCAGGTGACCGAGCAGAGGAATCAGACCATGGTTCAAACCGCAAAAACCGGGGTAGAGGACGTCGGAATGACCGGGATGACTACCCCCGAGATGACGTAGCGGACGCAAACCGAAGGTTGAAGGCTAGGACTGGCATAACCACAGTCTTTAAGATTCCAATCTATCGCATACTTAGTGAAATCCGAGACGAGGAGTATGTCCGGTTTCCTGCTAAGTTGGGCGATGGACAGAAGGGCTACAATCCGCGGTATCGTTGCACGTTCCACCGGGAGAGAGGCCACCGGACTGAGGATTGTTTGCCTTTGAGGCAGCACTTAGAAGAGCTTGTCGCAGCCGGGCACCTGGACCTCTACATTGATGGCGGCGTGAAACCGAATCAGGCCCCGGTCGATCCCAGGGGACAGGATGACCGAGACGCACCGCCGCAGGAAGTAATCAATGTCATCCACGGTATCGTGGAACCGGAGCGAGTTTGCGAACTCCGGGGCATGATAAAGAAGGCCGAACATATGAGGGAAGTTTTGTCGGTACAGCCGGCCATCAAAAGGGGGAAGACAGAAGAAAAAGAAGTGATTAGTTTCACCTCAAGGGATCTAGAACGTATCCAGACGCTGCACAACGATGCCCTAGTGGTAACGCTACGCGTCAAGGAATTTGATGTTAAACGGATTTTGATCGATCAGGGAAGCTCGGTCGAGATCATGTATTATGATGCGTTCAAGCAGCTTAAACTCCGGGAGACAGACTTGGCTCCGGCGACTTCGCCACTAGTTGGATTCAACTCGCAACTAGAGTGGCCTTTGGGAAAGATTATCCTGCCGGTCAAAGCGGGATCCGTGGTCAAACAAGTTGAGTTTTGGGTGCTGCAAGTGCTTTCGATGTACAATCTTATCCTTGGAAGGGGATGGCTACACGCCATGCAAGCCGTGGCATCAACTTTTCACCAAGTGATGAGATTCCCCTCGGCTATGGGGGCAATCGAGGAGATTTGGGGCGATCAGGTCATGTCCAAACAGTGCTTCGTGGCGGTCAACGGAAGCCGGGCTGCCAAAGGATTCGTTCAAATGATTGAGGGACCGAAGGACCAGGGTGTTTTGGACGATGTGGGTACCAAGGCCGAAGATAAGGCTGTTGAGGAATTGGTTGAGGTACGGATTGATACCGAGCAGTCGGACAAATTCTTCTTGCTCGGTTCAAATCTCACGGCCATAGAGAGAACCGAGATGATTGAGTTTTTGATGGCGAATATCGAAGTCTTTGCATGGTCGCCTTACGACATGCCTGGCCTCGACCCAAGTTTTATCTGCCACCACCTCAATGTCTTCCCTGGAGCGAAGCCAGTCATCCAGCGAACAAGGAGATCGGCACTACATCACGCCGAGGTAGTTGCAGAGGAGGTGAAGAATCTGCTTGAGGCACGAGCAATTCAGGAAGTGCACTACCCTCGGTGGATCTCCAACACGGTAGTGGTGCCCAAGAAGAATGGAAAGTGGCGAGTTTGCGTCGACTATAAGACAGTCAACCGAGCTTGTCCCAAAGACAGCTTCCCTTTGCCGCGCATTGACCAGCTAGTGGACTTGACGGCTGGACACAATAGGCTCAGTTTCTTGGATGCGTACCGCGGCTATCACCAGATCGCCATGCATGGGCCTGACCGAGAGGTCACCTCTTTCACGACTCCAAGGGGACTCTTCTGCTACCGAGTCATGCCATTTGGTTTGAAAAACGCCGGGGCAACCTTTCAGAGGATGGTGACCAAAATGTTTGCTCCTTTGCTTGGTCGGACAATGGAAGCTTATATCGATGATATGGTGGTAAAAAGCCGACATAAGGCAAACCATTTGTCCGACTTAGCCGAGATGTTTGCCATTCTAAAGAAGCACAAGCTGCGCTTGAATGCCTCAAAGTGTGCCTTTGGCGTGGGATCTGGAAAATTTTTGGGATTCCTAGTCACGAACCGAGGCATCGAAGCAGACCCTATTTAGATCAGAGTCGTGCAAGCGTTGAAGCAGCCCAGCTCGGCTAAGGACGTGTAGCATCTGGCCGGTATGGCCGCCGCGCTTAATCGATTTATAAGCCGGTCATCAGATCGCTGCCGCCCTTTCTTTCAAGCATTGAAGTCAAAGTTCTCATGGGATGACGAGTGTGACCGAGCTTTGGCCGAGCTCAAGGACTATTTGTCTTCTCCGCCGCTGTTGGTTACACCAGAGCCGGGTGAGGAACTCTACCTTTACCTTGCCGTCTCCCAGCACGCAGTCAGTGCGGTGCTAGTCCGGGCTGAAGGAGTCAAGCACCTCCCAATTTTTTATGTCAGCAAAACTTTGTTATCGGCAGAGTCGAGATACTTGCCGTTGGAGAAGCTTGCCCTGGCCTTGATGATGGCTTCGAGAAAATTGGCGTACTATTTCCACGCCCATACCATTGTCGTACTGACTGAGTTTCCCCTCAAGGCCTTGTTTGAACGGGCGAACTTTTCAGGCCGAATTCTTAAGTGGGCGGTCGAGTTGGGAGAATTTGATGTCAAGTTCCAGCCGCGCACTGCTATAAAAGCCCAGACCTTGGCAGATTTTGTTGCCGAGTTCTCACCTGGCATTCATCCGGTATGCCCGGTCGACATTACTGAGGCAGATGGTGAGATGCACGCAATGCCAGCCGAGGTACAACCAGTTGAAGGAGGTAGCACCGCGGAGTTAGCGCGCACCATCGAAGTTCCCTCAGTTTGCACGGTCATACCATCCGGTGATGCGATGACGGAGTTGTGTATCACCAACCCATCCACTCTGTCCGGTCCCGCATCACCAAGGGAGGAAGAAATTGAACCACACCGCTCAGAACTTGATGATTCGCCTACGGACTTGGGCATTCCGAACCAACTTGCTGAGTCCGGTGCCGAATCATCAAGGGGGGAAGGAATGGTTCCACACAGCTCAGAACCTGCGGCCGGCTTCGCACTGTAACCTGATGATTCGCCCACGGACTTGAGCATTACAGAACAACTTGCTGAGTCCGGTGTCGAATCACCAAGGGACACTGAATTTGAACCGGTCAACACAGAACTTGAAACCGCACAGCCGAGCAGTTGTGATCCTATTGCCCTTCGCTACTCTCAGGACCCATCAGACTGCTGGAAGCTTTTTGTGGGGGAAATGTGAAAGCTTTTTGTAGATGGGGTGTCCAACCGTCATGGTGCCGGCCTAGGTATCGTTCTTATCTCCCCGGATGGCCTGACCATTGAACATTCAATCACGCTTGGTTTCCCGGCATCTAACAACAAGGCCGAGTACGAGGCCCTTCTTGCCGGGCTAAAAAGTGCAATTCAAATGAAGGCTGCCGAGCTTCTGGTATACAGTGATTCCCAGCTTGTAGTTAACCAAGTCTCTGGGATTTACGAAGCTAAAGACGACAGAATGGCGAAGTACCAAGCTCTGGTCAGGGAGCATATCAAGCAGTTTGAGGCAATTAGAGTCCAACAAATTGGCCAGGAAGACAACAGCCGAGCTGATGAACTGGCCGGTCTCGCTTCTATGGTGGATAATACTTTTCCAAACCCTCTTTTGATTGACTTTCTTCCGCGGCCAAGCATTGAACTAGTGGACTTGACGGCTGTACTCTGCGCCGCGCTCGTCTTGGATGCGTACCGCGCCTTGATCTTGTTCCTCAGAGACCGGACTCTTCCAACTGACAAGAAAGAAGCACACAAAATCCGGGTGAAGTCCGCTGGTAATTCCTGAACCCCACTTGCCTTTGCCCTTTTCCAGCCGTTTTCTTCAACCCATCCAGTATATGTCGTTGTCGATGCTTCGCGCTTGACCCATTGGACTGCAGGTAGGCCGGGTGGAGTTGTAGAATTCTATCTCTCAAATTTTCACAAAATCCTCTAATAGGCGACCGTTCAACTGGTGTCCCGTTGTCAGAGATCAAAAATCTTGGGACGCCCAAACCGCATGAATTTGCCAACAAACCGCTACCGTCCTTCCTCTTTATGGTGGCCAAGGGTCAGCTTCAATCCACTTTGTGAAGTAATTTTGGCGGGGTGCGGCGTAAAGAATTTTCGGTTCCCCGGTGCTGTTGGCAGTGTCCACTATATCTAGCCCCCACATGGCGAAGGGCCAAGACTGGTGAGGAGAAGAATTCCCTGCAGGCTGGTGATGGATCTGATGGCGAATTTCTGGCATTTTCGCACTTGCGGACATATTTTTGTGCATCGGCCTGCATGCACGGCCACAGTATCCCTGCGAAATAGCCGGTAGGCCAAGGACCTGCCTCCTATGTGGCTGCCACAATGCCTTCATGAATTTCGTACAAGAAGGCCTCCACACGCTCGGGTGCACGCACTTTAAATAAGGACCAGTGAAGGACTCTTATATACGCGCCAAGATGAAGAGAGC